CCCGCTAGTAAGCGGTCCCTATTTATCTACTTGCACCCGGGGGTGCTTTCGAACTGCTAGGTTGGCAGGCGCTGGGACCGAACAACGGGAGCGCACCCCGCCGCGGGGATTCGAACCGCCGACCTTTCGATCAGCAAGCCCTAGGCGCTGAGGCTTTTACCCACAGCGCCACCCGTGTCCCTATACAGACAATACTGATGCCTAAATAACTGGGTCTGGTGACTAACACCTGGGTTATTGCACTAAGCAGTGAGTTTCTCTTCCAAATTGGCTCCTAAATTTTGCCCTCCCTCAAAAAAAGAAGTTCATCTTGTAGTAAAACATTGTAGCACTCCAACTGGAAAGCCAGAACCTTTTTAGAAATATCATAAAACTAATTTGAAAATAACTCAGCTGAAGTGAATAGCACAGATAAATTCAGTACTGCACGATTCACTTCCTGTTTTGTACAGTACTGAGGATTGATTCACACAACTGCATTTTTCCCAATACTTGTAGACTTTTCTTGTCTGCTCTGATTGCATGCTTACACAAATTTGTTCACCATGTGCACAAACCACTGGCATTTCTACAATGAACAGTGCATGTATAAGCACACCTCATCACAGAGATGCTTGGAAGCAGTGCTCTTGTTGAAGAAATACACATTACAATTTGAACATTCAAATCAAGCATGCAAAAAGTATACAGATCTTAAACAAGTCTAAATTTGTTATCATATGACTTATCCCTAGAATTCACATTTTTAAACCTAGAGTGCTATTATTGCCTCATCTAATAGGTCTCTACTGTACTTCTGTTTATCTTTCTAAAGTAATTCCTAGTATCTTACATATGAAGGGACTTATTTTCTCAATTGTTTTATAAGGTTTCTTCTAAATACAAAATAGATACATATTGCAAAGAGCAGATATACCCTTGGTACCTTAAGTCTTGTTTGCTTGATTGACCTGCCTTTGTGACCATGGAAGGCCAATGACTTTGGGTCCTCAATCTTAAACACTTAGAATTAATACTCGTCTCTTAGTGTCATTTACTTCTGAATAATCAGGCTTATTATACCAATTTAAAAGATACTTGAATCTTAGAACACCCAGAAGAGATCCAAAATTAAGGAAGAACAGATGAATATATAATTTTAAAATGGTCAATTTATTAAGATCACATTGAGGAAAGTTATTACCACTGACCTTTAAAAGTCTGAGTAAAAAAACTCAAGCACACCTTCATAAATATACTTTCCTTGGTGTTTCACATGAGTAAAGAACTGGAGGAAATTTTCAGGCCCAAAAATCTGTCAGCCACCCTAATAATTCTTATATTTAGTATGTAAACACGAAAGGGCTTATCATTTATTTGGCTGCAGAACATCTCCTGCTGAGATTAACTATATGTCTTCTTAGTTGTCAAGTGAATATTTATATTATGCACAAACATCTCGATCGTAAAATTTTGTATTAAAATGAATGATATCCAGAGGTAAGAAATTAGTACTAGCAGAATAATTAAGCCTGGTCTGGTGGTTAACACTGAGAACATTTATGTTATTTTCTTTTCATGTTTTACATTTATAAGCCACTTCTAATGGACATTGCCCCCAAAGCTGCCTAGAAATATTTTTAAATAAATAAATAGTTAAAATAAAAACTTCCAGTTCAGTAATTAATAGAAGTATTCAACAGCAATCTTCCCTTTACATTTTCCTCATCTGTCACAAAACCTTGCTCAACTATGTAGAAATTGTCAACGCATAAGCTCATAATTAAAAAACCTCCATGCACATGTAACACAAGAGGGCAAAAATGTACAATACAGTACATACAAAAGGAGGAAGTGAACTCCTTAAAAAAAAAAAAGCATGATCAGTAATTATGTAAGTGATGTGAGAAAGATTTTTAATGGTTTACACAAAAGCCATAATTGGGCATAGGACATCACATCCTCTGAAAATACACAGCTATGTGGTTTGGGCAACATTCTTGTGTTGACCAATTGGGTGGGGGGAGGAAAGCCATGGAGGAAAGAAAGAATTAAAAGCGTTTCAGCAGGTTACTGTCCCTTTGTTTAATGAGTTAATGGAAGCCCATTTTATCTTTTTTTAAAAAAACCAAAAACTCTTTGAGTTTCAATGCAATTCAATGTAAGACTACAACATTTTCCCCTCTAACGTATTATCCCCCACTCAAACAAAAGACAACAACGGCTATGGGTGTTTTTGTTAAACGTCTTAACCACCGTACCACAGGTCATTCTCCTTTTATCATGCGATAGGTGCGACACCGGCGCATAAAAAATAAAAAAATCCAACCCACCAGATAATAAATGCAAAATGTCTCCTTCGATCCCACCCCTGTTCTTCTCCTTTAGAAAATAACCCTGCGACGACAGCACACCAACACAGGGAGAGAACCCCAGCCAATTAATATGGCAACAGTTATGCAGCTGAGCGAGCGATCACCCTCCCCGCCGCGGGCCGCCCAGTAATAGAAACCCCCAAGACCCTGTTTTTATTTATTTGCACGATGAACGTTTAAAGACTCCATTACGGAAAAGGGAAGGAAAGGAAACGGGGGGGGGAGGGGGAGGAATAAGAAGAAGAGGAGGATTCCCTACCACGACTACATTCCCAGTTCTTTCAGACAATGGTGCTTCCCTGACTACCTCCAATCTGACAACATTTTTACACTAGGCCCAGGACCAGCACGCACAGGCAGGGAAGCGAAACCTTCGCACGCGCGAGAAAAGGAGAAGGCTCCTCGGCTGCCAGCCGCAGCAGCCTGACACCAGGAGCAAATATTTGTGGGTTTTTATTTAGGGCGGTGGGTGAACTGGGTGGCGGTGGTGGAGGGGAGAGAACAGGCGGAGGGGGGCGGGTGGAGGAGACAGGAGGCAGATAAATAAATGGCCGATGATCTACCCGGACAGAAAACGGTCTGCGATTCCTCTCCTCGGTGCTGTGCTACCCCACCGAACAACACCCCCTCCGCACACACACAAACCCTCCCGATCTCACTCGCTCGCTCTCTTTTTTCCTCCGGGCCCCGGGTAACCAAAGCCACACTGAATGCAAACTGCGCAGCAAAAACACTGGGGCAGGGCGAGGGAGGGAGGCAGAGGAGGAGGGGGGAGAAAGAGCAGTTCTTGTCTCCATGAGACACCATTACAAAAAGAGGGAGAGAAAAGAGGGGGAAAGAGGGAGGGAGGGAGGCAAGCAGGGGGTGGGGGCTGAGAGGAAGAGTTGGGAGGGGACGGAGAGAATAAAAGGAAAGGTGTCAACATAAGTTACTGGGATACACGCCGTGTCCCGGACACGGGGGGGGGGGGAGAGAAGGGAAGTGGTCTCCCCACCCTGTGGCCAAAAAAGAGAGAGAGAGATCCTGGGCCTCTCCCCCCTCCCTCAGAGGGGAACCGAAAGGGGGCGCTATGCTCTCGGACCCCCCCTTCCCTACCTGAGAGGAACCCACAACGAGCTTATTTTTTTAAAAGGCACCCAGCCCACCCACAAACCCCCAATAGGGCCCGAGCCAAACAAAGCGCGGCCTGTACGCCTTGAAAGGAGAGGGAAGGGTGGGGGAAACAGCGTTGCCTCGCAGTTATATGAGGGGGGACCCCCCCACCCGGTTCCCCCCCCACACACACACACCCGCTGCCCCCCCCCACCGTACCCACCCCCGGCCTCTTACCCCTTTCCCCAGCGGCGACGGCGGCGGCTGCGGCAGCAGCAGCGGCGGCGGCGTTGTTGTTCCTCTCCGGCGGTGGCGGCGGCGGCGGCGGCAGTTGCAGTGGCTGCTGCTGCTGCTGCTGCTGAGGCGGCTGAGCGGGAGGAGGCGGCGGCGGAGGCGGCGGCGGCGGCTGCTGCACCGGGCGCGGCCTGGACACTCGCCTGGGTCTCCTGTTGGCGGCTCGGACCGAGTTCATTTGCCGGCTCGGGCGGGGGGAGGAGAGGGGGTCGCTCCTCCGGGCTCCGGTACTCGGGGTGGGTAGGGGGGGGAGGAGAGGGGGTAGGAGGGGGGAGAGGAAAGGAAGGGACGAGGGAGCCCCCCCGCCGGCTGAGGGGAACCGGCCCGACTGAGAGCTCGCTCTCTCTCGGTGGAAAAGAAGGAGCCTCCTCCTTGCTTCTCCTCAGTCGCCGCTCAGGTCGCTCCTCCGCCGGCGGCGGTTAACGAGGTTGCGGGGGGGGGAGATGCTCGTGCCGCTGGTGACCCCCCCTTCTCCTCCTTCCTCCTCCTCCTCGTTCCCCTCACGAGCGCGCGCTTCCCCCTCCCTCCCCCTTCCCCCAGCCTCAAATATCGCCGCTTTCGTGCCCCCCCGTCTCTCTCTCTCTCGAGGGAGTCGCCCACAGCTCCCCCTGGCCCGGCTTCGGCTTAAGCCCGTCGCCGCTCCGTGGCAGGAGGAGCCATTGACACTGCCAGGGAGAGAGAGAGAGAGAGAGAGAGAGAGAGAGAGAGAGAAGGAGGGAGGGGGGAAAAAGGCAGGCAGGCAAGCAAGGCAAGGCAAGGCAAACTCCCCCCCACCCTCAACCCCGGCGCGCGCGCGCCTTCCTCCTCTCTCTGCTCCCCCTCCCTTATTCCCTTCTCTCCTCACTCACCACACATTATACACACACACACATACAACTCGCTCTCGCTACGGGCGAGGCGGGCCTCGTCGTCCTCCTCCTCCCACCCTCACCCAATCCACGCCTCCCGCACGGTAGGAGCGACGCGGCTCGGCCAATGGCGCCCTAGCTTGCATGCCGCGTCCGAGGGGCGGCGGGTCCTGAGGAGGTGGAGAAAGAGGGGGGGGGGAAGGCTGCCGCTTGGTGGGAGGGGAGATGGCGGGGCGGGGTGGCTGGAGGAGGAGGCCGCATAAAGGGACGTATATATAGAGGGCCGAGGCTAGAAGGAGGGAGGATCAGCCGAGGGACAGGGAAGCGTTGGGAAGAAGAAGGGGGGGGGTGCGCTTGGCTCCAGTTTACCTCAGAGATTAAAGATTTGAAACGCGCCTGCCTTTGGGTTGGCGGCGGTTTGAGGCGGGGAGGGGGGGTCCATAAAGGATTTTCGAAAGTTATTAAACGCTCCTGTAAGGATTCGAGTTGCCTCACGTCGGAAGTGCCCAGCGTCTCTGAGGGAACAGGGGACTTGCTGGCCTGATGGGCAGCTGGCCTGATCCAGCCGGGCCCGCGTTCTTATGGATTGCGATAAAGGGCCTTTATCCCAGAGATAAATTGGGGAGGGGGGTTAAAAAGAAAGAGAGAGAAAGGTTTCTTCTCTTCTCTCCCCCGCCCCCCCCCCCCGTCCCCGCTTAGGTAGGAGGGAAATTGAAGGAGAAGGGGTGAGAAACGGGGCGGGAATAATATTAGCATAAATTATTACGACCGGTGATCTCATGGAGAGAAAATGATTAATCTGTTCCTGGGGCGCGCGGGGGAGGGGGCTGGCAGAAAGACACGGATCGAGGCAGGCACGCACGTGCGCACCGCGGGTCAGTTCTGCAAAGGGAAGAGCAGACCTGACAGCTCGGCCCTTCTAAGGAGAGCCCGATTTTTGCTCCTCGTGCTGGCTGTGTGGCATGTGGGAGCGGAAACCTCTGGCTCGTGTGGGCACCAACCAACTGTGGAAGCAGCTGCAGAGTAGAAAGAAAACCTTGGTGGGAACCAGGCTGAAGAGCGCGCACGCAGGGCGCGCGGAAGGGTAGGTAGGTGTGGAGCCATTTTTGGAAGCGCGTTGTTGCATTGCTCCAGATCCCTACATGTTGTGGTCGCCCCTGCTGCTCCTTACTCTTCGGTGCAGTTTCTCGCTCCTCTCTGTTGCCTCGCTGCTGTTTCAGAGTGAACAGGTGTGGGGTTCTTTTCTTGCTTCTGTGGAGGGAAATGCTATGCTTTCCTCTTTTGATACTACACTCCATAGGGTTGTGGTGGTTTCTGTGATCAGCAGTGGTTCCTATGGTCTTAACAGCAGATACTGTTATCTCATAGAGTAATATATGGTGGCTGAATAGAGTAATATATTTTCAGGTGGCTGAAATCGAATCAAAACTTAAAACCTAGAGTCTAATTGGAGGGGGGTATTCCTGAAACGTTCCCTAAATGACTCAAACCTACTCTGAAAGCCTTGTCCTGAAACAGGATTCAGTGGACTAAAACCACCTGTACATTCCAAGAACTTGTTCGTACTACGATGACACATCAGATGACATCCATGAAATTGCCTCATGTTTCTTGTGAGTATATACTATTTGTTGCTAAAACCCATTGTGGTTCCAAAGATCTGCTCTGGGGAATGAAATTATTTTGCATACCACTTGAACTAGCAGTTGTTGTACAAAATTAGGATCTGGCTCTTGAAAAAATGGCAGAATATTATTATTGTTATTGTTATTTGTTGCCTATCTGACTGGGTTGCCCCAACAAGTTACTATAATTTTATTGTTTCATAGTGATGTGGCCAGATACTTTCAAGTTACCTTTATTATGAGGACTAGAAACATTTCTGTAGTGAGAACTCAGATTCTTGGACAAAAGCTGGAAAAGAGCTGGAAACTAAAGTAAGTTTTCCATTGTCAATTAATATGCTTCCGGAACAAATTTGTATAGTCTTTGGCTTCAAGTGTCCAAAATTTTCCAGAAGCAAAGGGTAGTGTTTACTGTGTTTTCTATATGAGATGGAAAACAAATGTCCATGTTGCTTGGTTGATAGTCATAATATTGAAAACTTTACAGAGCTTGGGTAATTGGAATACATAAACCGCCTCATGAACTCCAAATAATGTTGTGTGATACACAATGGTATCTCCTGGATTTTAGCAGCTATGATGAAATACTAGTCCCTGGATCCAGGAAGAAGCATGCTTTAATGAATATAAGACTTATAACATGGTTATTTCCAGAAGGCCATATACTTCTCAGGACCAGGTTACTTGAGAGACCACTGTATTCCTTATACACCCAGTAGATCGCAATGGTCTGTAGGAGAGTTTCTCCTCCCAGTTTCCAAGATTTCAGAAGCGTACTCTGCAGTAACTCAAGAGCAAGGCTTTTAGTGTGGCTGCTCCTATTCTGCAGAATAGCATTCCTGTCAAGATAGGTAAGACAAGCACTATTTGCCCTTTCTGGGGAAAATTGAAAAAGACATTTTTGTTCTGACAGGCTTTCCCAGCTGGATAAATGGGTATTTATCCTGACTGTCCACTTGTTAAGAGATTTAGTCTTATTTTATTTGTACTTGTTTTTGTGTTTTTTAACTGTTTTTAATTATGTATAAATTGAAACAGTGGTTTACAAGGTGATTATACTGATAATACTAATAATCCTCTGTACACTACTTTGCTTGGTGTTTGTTTTTATTTCTGCTGACTGCTTATATGCTGCTCTGCTGTATCATGATGTAGGAATGTTTTTGTTTTAATAGTCTTACTGTAATTATTTAATCTTTCTGTAAGTTGCCCAGGTAAGCTGTTAAAGGATGGGGTGTAAATCAAATAAATACAATGCAATACAATGTGTTTGTTTATTTTATTTTCTTCCTCCAGGGAGCTGATGGTTGTATACACAACCCCACATTTTCCCCCCTTAAAAAAACCCTTATGTGATCGGTTTGGCTGAATGGTACTGATTTTCCCAAGGACATAGCCCATGCAACCCTATACCTAACCTACTACACCAGATCTGGAGATGTGGAAAGGGCACCAAATTGTAAACATGCTCAGCCTGGGAGGGGAGCAGTTTTTAAAGTCTTTCCCTTGCAGTAAAAGTCAACAGGAGGGAAATCCCTTACAGTGGGTCTGGGGGCTGGAGTAATGTTGCACCATCGCTGAAGGTTGGCCATAGCTTGAAGGGTATCAGATTTGTTATGTGTATGCTCTTCCCCTGTGCAGCCCACACCTCCACTCCATATCATCTGCTGGTGTATGGGAGGATTTTACCAGCTATCCGTCATACTGGCGGCATATCTCAAGTTCTGCCACTGTAACAGCTTCCTCTGATTCCTGTGGCCCATTCAGCAGATCTCAATAACATTGTTTATGGTGAGTTCCATGGCAGAGGTGATTGCTGAACTCTCTGGTCAAAATCCTATACACTCTCCACCATAACATGGAGTGGTCTTGCACTGGTTATTTGTTTCAGCACATTGGCAGGGCCATTAGCATTGTTCTCTGTCCTCAAGGTTAACCCTACTGCAAGGGGTACACCTGTTCAGAGCTATTACAACATAAAAAAAAGAGAGAAACCTTCAAAGTAAATGGGGGGGGGATTTCAGAATATTGCTGGGGCGGGGTATCTCATTCTCTTCCCATCACTACCTGAACCCTCCATGCTGAAAGATATATGTAGTAGAAAAGTGCTCAAAACTTCTAAAGTTGCTAAAAGAATAAGTTAATTAAAAAAAAAACAAAATGATGCAAGCAGAGGCTGTTGAATTGTTTACTACCAGTTGTGTCAGTAACACTTTACACAGAACTCCAAAGTGTAATAGGTCTTCCAGTTGTGAATGTGGACATGGAATTTACACTTTCTTAATGACAAAGTGCTGTGGCTTGATAAATGGGGCAGTGTGACAATTCCTACAAAAGACCCTATCTTGAGATCTGGGTTCCCAGCAACAGGTGAGTAACCAATATGCACTTATTTTAGAATGTATTTATCTTTATTGTTAATCGCTTCAGGATGTTTCACAGGAAGTGATGCATAAATTAAATAGTAGGAGAAGCTGTAAAGCGCTTAATAAAAAGAACCCCTATGTAGCATGCATAAAAGCAACGCAAAACAACTATCAGTAATATACACATTAAATCAGAAAGTTTTAAAAACCAAGTGCATAGTTAATTAGGTTATGTCCTGGTAGACTTACTAGACCAATTAATTTTTTAACAGGCATCTGAAGCACTACAACAAGGGTGCCTGCCTCATGTTAATAGGCAGGGAGTTCCAAAGCACACTGGAAGTTCAACTCACAGCTGTGGAGTGAATATCATATGGCATTTGTAAAAAGCTCTAGTTAACAAAGCTGGATCCAGGAGCACCCACACACTGAGTGTTAAGGTCAGAAGAAGGAACCCTCTTGGTAGTTCCACCACCCTCAGAGGTTTGGGGAATGGTAACGCAGGAGAGGTTCATTCTCTGTGGCAGATCCAACATTGTCAAATTCCCTTCCCACAGAAGTAGTGTCCTGCACTTTCATTCTATGGCTTAGGCTGTAGCCCACCCTGGAACTTTCTGATAAAGAGTGGGTAACAAACAAACAAACGCCTTCAGAAAGGAGCACAGTCCCATCCAAGACTAGCAATTGGCCTGTTTGTTTGACACAAGAGCCAGTCACCCACTCCACTGGGATTTAAGCTCAGTTTAGTTGTCCTCATCTAGAAATGGTTAAAAAAAAATCTAGAACAACCATGGTGTCCAGGTACTGGTGCATAGCCTACAGAGTCAGTGTAGGAGAATGCCATGGTCATTGCTATCAAAAGCTGAAGTGACACTGAAGGAGCAAGACTGCACTGTCTTTTTTCTGCTCTCGATAGAGGTCATCCATAGGGTAACCAAGGCCAATTTGGTCCCATAGCAAGGCCTGAACCCAGATGGGTTCTAGAAGGAATGTGTCTAGAATGATAACAAGTATCAGCAAAGCAAGTGGAATTTGCAATTGACTGGTAGGTGGTCCAAACCAATGGTTGTAGGGCTGGCGTTCTTAGGACTGGCCACACCATTGCCTCTTTCAAGGTGGCAGAGACCGACAGGCATCAAGAGGGTATGTAGTCAATCAGAGAATAATGCATTTTATTTGTGTTCAGTGCATAAACTGAAAGGGATCCTACAGAGCATTGCAAGAAATGGCATTAGGCACTTCAGTTGGAGCTGCAACAACTGCGGAGTCAAGGTCTCTCTCCAAAGCCGAGCAATTTTATCCTAAAAATATGCAGCTAGTTGGTTACAGCAGGTTCTTGAAGACTCCAGGGATCCCTCCTCCACAGCAACCTCTGAATACTCGAAAGAGCTTGGCTTGCTGGCTGCTAGAGGATGCAGCACAGGTTACAAAGTATGCTTCTTTTGCTGCCTATATTTTCACATGGCACACACAGTTATGTGCCCTAACCAGTGTTCAGCTGACCCTAGAACAGGCATTGAGCTTTTTCTTGCAATTAATGAATATTGATCACTGGTATAATACAGTCTGGCAAACAGCCTTAATGGAAAAGTTGTTGTACTGAAGAGGGAAAGGGGAGAGAAAAAACAAGGTAATTTTACACAGTTTTAGTATGATTTTATTAAATATACAAATGGAGCAACACATGGACGAGAAATACCTACAGCATATATTGCAATATGGCATAGATAAGCAGGCACTACTCATTAGCTCATTCCTATTCCTGTGTGTTTTCCAAATTGATTTATTGAAGAGTTCATTGGACTGGTATACTGTAATCACCTCAGTAATATGTACTGTAAAATAATACGTTTAGTATTTTACACACCCCATGACTCACTTTTTGTCAGTCGTGTCATGTCTTGTTATTTATGTGTGTACAATTTTGTAACAGAAATAAATATATTAGAACTATAGAACAAGACTTGATCTCTAGTCTACATCCATATTACTTCATAGTCCGTAATTCCTCAAAATACCAGGGAGTTGGTTGAGCTCTGCAACACTGAAGAGGAAGCCCAGGAGCAATTGTGTCAACTACCTGCCTTGTTGTTGTTGTTTAGTCGTTTAGTCGTGTCCGACTCTTCGTGACCCCATGGACCAGAGCACGCCAGGCACCTCTGTCCTCCACTACCTACCGCAGTTTGGTCAAACTCATGCTGGTAACCTCGAAAACACTATCCAGCCATCTTGTCCTCTGTCGCCCCCTTCTCCTTGTGCCCTCCATCTTTCCCATCATCAGTGTCTTCTCCAGGGAGTCTTCTCTTCTCATGAGGTGGCCAAAGTACTGGAGCCTCAGCTTCACGATCTGTCCTTCCAGTGAGCACTCAGGGCTGATTTCCTTAAGAATGGATGCGTTTGATCTTCTTGCAGTCCATGGGACTCTCAAGAGTCTTCTCCAGCACCATAATTCAAAAGCATCAATTCTTCGGCGATCAGCCTTCTTGATGGTCCAGCTCTCACTTCCATACATCACTACTGGGAAAACCATGGCTTTAACTATACGGACCTTTGTTGGCAAGGTGACGTCTCTACTTCTCAAGATGCTGTCTAGGCCTGTCATTGCCCTTCTCCCAAGAAGCAGGCGTCTTAATTTCGTGGCTGCTGTCACCATCTGCAGTGATCATGGAGCCCAAGAAAGTAAAATCTCTCACTGCCTCCATTTCTTCCCCTTCTATTTGCACTACCTGCCTTATCTGAGCAATAATAATAATAATAATAATAATAATAATAATAATAATAATAATTTTTAATATCCCGCCCATCTGGCTGGGTTGCCCCTGCCACTTTGGTTGGCTATGAAGCAGGGTGTCAAATTGGCTGGAAAAAGACCATGGCCTGTCTCAGTATAAGGCATCTTGTTACATGATTGCACACTAGATTATAATTTGGATTGTGTTGTTTTTCCACTGTTCCTTCAATGAGGTGAGGGTGATATATGTGGTTCTTCATGCGGTACTTTATCCCAACATTCCTGTGAGGTAAGTTAAGCTGAGATGTAGTTATAGCTCAAGATAATCCAATGAGCTTTATGACTGCCTGAGTAGAGATTTGAAACCAGCTCTCCCAAATCCAGCACTCCCAACTGCCATGCCATACTGACTCTCTGGCTCATATATTTAGCTGTTTGCTGGTATCCGCCTGTGTCTCCATGTTATGGGAGTGTGAACTAGTTACAAGCCAGTATTAACTGGATACACATATACATAGGTAGTAAAACATTAATTTCTCTGACTGTCATAGTCTTGCCATTCTCTGAATTCAGCAGATGTATACCTCTAACCAGCAGATACTGGGGATAAACGGGAACGGCTGTTGCACTTTTTTCCTGCGGTATTTGATTGGCCTCTATTGGAATAGCAGATGGAGAAAGACAGTTCCCCCCTAACCATATCACATTGGTGTGAGGATGAATGGGGAACATGGCTTGTGCATTGAACGTTGACGAAAGCACATTGATTCTTGACACGAACTATTGCTTTTGTAGCACAAGAACTAAAAGAAGCAAAGGAATTCCTGCCCCCCTATGATATAAGAATGTTGTGGCTCGCATTCAACAAGAAAAAAAATTAGGACTTGTGAGTATTACTTCGTCAAGATGATTATCCTAGCCTGCATGGCCCAGCAAGTGGTGTGAAGGCGCTCCATGATACAATTCAGCAACTAAATCTAAGAAAATGTAGCCCTGAGCAATGCCTGGAAGGGGAAACCACCTTGAATCTATATATAAGCTGCTCTGTGCTCCTGAGAGGAAATGTGTGTAAGTGTAAGTGTAAATGTAATCAATGCACTATTTGTTGGGTTGATAGCCAATCATGTATTGATAGCAACGCTTTTGAAATGTGGCCTCATCGTCTGAGGAAATCGAATTAGGCTCACCCATGATATAGTTGCTTCTCTCGTTGCCACTAACAAAACGCCAAATTGTGGGATCCACTTTTTCTCTTTGGAATCAGTGTAATAGCTAGGAATGCTGGAAGAAGTTCACCAAATCCAAGTCTCTTGTCTGCCCCTTGAAATCGAGTTACCTCAAGGAGCTTAATCTGCTTTCCAGCGTGAATTTGGATTCTGTGTACCGGTACTTGTTTGTCCGGGGATCACTTGGTCCAAGTATAAAGCCATATTTTTAGCGGTATGTGTTCGGTTTTATGGGATGTAGGTGGTGCTGTGGGTTAAACCACAGAGCCTAGGACTTGCCGATCAGAAGGTCGGCGGTTCAAATCCCCATGATGGGGTGAGCTCCCGTTGCTCGGTCCCAGCTCCTGCCAACCTAGCAGTTCAAAAGCACGTCAAAGTGCAAGTAGATAAATAGGTATCGCTCCAGCGGGAAGGTAAATGGTGTTTCCGTGCGCTGCTCTGGTTCGCCTGAAGCGGCTTAGTCATGCTGGCCACATGACTGTACGCCGGCTCCCTCGGCCAGTAAAGCGAGATGAGCACCACAACCCCACAGTCGGTCACAACTGGACCTAATGGTCAGGGGTCCTTTTACCTTTACCTTTATTCGGTTTTATGTTTATGTTACAGTGCTTTCTTATCTAGACACACATGACTTGCACAAAAAACCAGACTCCCTTTTATTTGTTTCTACCTGCCTCATTTATATTTTCTGTGGGTAGCTTGCAGAAATAATACTCTGTCACCAGTAGTAAGCAGCAGGGTGGGATGCAGACACTGACCTTACCTCCTAGCAGGTGAGTCGATACTGCTTCCTGGGAGGGAGGGCGGTGGGATGCAAATATGAGGCACTGGATTGGTTCCACTGGAGCATTTTCATTGTAAAACAATGTGAAACTTTAAAACTGAATACAAGTAGTCTAAAAGACTTGGAGTTATTTAATTTATCTGTGTTAACATGTCCTGTGCCTCTGCAGATTTTTAAGGAGAAATCATTTAAAACCTATGCAGAAACATCAAGGTAAAAAATAAACAATAAACTACCTTTGAGGCAGTGCTGCTTCTGTTCTTGTAAAAGCTACTTATTGCCTTTTAAAAAGTCCAAATATAGATCGTCCAGCTGCCCACAGCCTGGTGTGGCTACTGCACGAGACTCCTTGCTGCCACACAATTTGACTGCAAGATGGCAAGGCCCTTTGGTTGTGACAGGACTTGATGGGTATTCCATCACTTGCAGGGAGAATTTTATGGAAAAAACACAGCTGCCTTCATTTAAAAACTCGGGGCAACCTCATGAAGGGATCATTGGACTGCAGATTCTGAAATGGACGCATGATCTGATCTGATCCACTCAGATCAAATCAGGCAAGTTTGCTTTTGAATCCAAGTTTGACAGGTCCTTTTCTTATCCCTGCACAACATTTATCCCAGTCAGTGCCTTTGCTCTCATTGGCTAAAATACTGAAACGAGAACATTTGGGCAGAGATACCTTTAACATCCATAAGTAAAAAGGGTTACAGCCTTTTAAAATTTGTGATAATTCAGAATCCAGGGAGGAGTCTTATAGTATCTTTCAAAAGCATGATCCATTGTGAAACCCTCTTCACAATCTATCAATTAATTATAGCTAGATGATTGTTAGCCTTTATGAATCAGAAATATACTTTGGTTGAGAAATTGGACTAATCACTAAGATGATGCATCTGTACCAGAGTGAATTGATTTAAATCATGTTTTTCATTGATTCTTATATTTCCTAAACAATGCTGCAAATCTGACCACTAATCCATGCTAATTCACAACTAAATAGAGTATTAGTTACATTGTCACAGTCTTATAATGAAGCATTGCATCTGTCAGACCATACAGTTCGCATGAGCTTCGCCCACCTTTTTCCCTGCTATAGAGGAAAAGTGTTTAAAATATTTCCAAATAGGTTAATTCTTATGACCAGCAACTATGACGGTATTACCACATTTGGGCACCATACTAACCACAGTTTAGTGTTGCATGAGCAAGCCGAAATGGGCAGCAGTGAGCCTCTTGCTTCTGCAAGCCATCCCTTCCCTTCTCTCCCATGTAGTTGGGAGGAGGAAGTCAGAAGATTTCACTTTGGCTTTTGCTCAACTGTGGTTTGTGATTTTGTCCCCACCAACCAACTATAGCTAGCATTAACTCATTTATTTCTAAGAAGCTAGCTTGAAAGCTGTAGTCTCTTTCCCTGGACAAGTCATATATCTGAGAATTAAGATTTTCCTTCCTTTCATGCGATCGTGAAATGCCAAGAGCACAGAACCAGCAAAGGAGTGTTATATAGTTCCCGTGGGTCTTCCCACTCCTACAGAAGATGTTTTATGACCTATTACTCCCATGACTCAATCTGGAAATCAGATCCTTTGCCTCCTCACTAAATTATTTCTACTTAGCTTTTTGGAGACCATGTGTGTTATTTTTGGGAGAAGCCTTTCATATACATATATCTTATTACTTCTGTGTATAAAACAAATGATGATTTATGCCTTAGCTTCTCCAAAGTCAGGAATTTTATCTAGAATTTTACAGTCTGCTAAATTTGTATTTAGAGTTCTCCCATTTTGAAAAAAATCTGAATAAATTGCAAAACAATTAGCACATAAACCACCAGATTTTTTCCCCCGTGTATAAGACTATCAAGGTAAAGGGACTTCTGACCATTAGGTCCAGTCGTGACCGACTCTGGGGTTGCGGCGCTCATCTCGCTTTATTGGCCGAGGGAGCCGGTGTACAGCTTCCAGGTCATGTGGCCAGCATGACTAAGCCACTTCTGACGAACCAAAGCAGCGCATGGAAACACCGTTTACCTTCCCGCTGGAGCAGTACCTATTTATCTACTTGCACTTTGATGTGCTTTCAAACTGCTAGGTTGGCAGGAGCAGGGACCGAGCAACGGGAGCTCACCCCGCCGCGGGGATTCGAACCGCCGACCTTCTGATCGGCAAGTCCTAGGCTCTGTGGTTTAACCCCCAGCGCCACCCACGTCCC